ATTGGAAGTGGAAAGGTCTGGGTGGAGAGATACACACAACTGACTCTAAATACTAAATACACAATCTTTTCATGTCATTCTCACCTTCAACTATTCCCCACCATCCATTTAATTTTAGGTAACCTTTTTCATATTCTCCCAAACTTCCTCCATGCATCCTCACTCTATTCATCCTGAATTATTTTCTATTATCCAAATATGTCACTTTTCAAGTCTTTGAAAATGAGCACTCTGGTTTCTTCATGACTCAGGTCAAATGTAACTTTCTCTGCTATCTGTTCTGATGTTCAGCCAGCATAACTCATATTGCACCAGTCTTTCCTTTGTCACAGTAGTAGATAAGAATACAGCCTCGGGGCTAGAGCGATAGCACATTGGGTAGGGATTTGCCTTGGATGCGCGGCTGACCCGAGTTCAATTGCCAGCATCCCATAAGGTTCCCCGAGCACCACCAGGAGTAATTCCTGAATGCAGAAAGGAGTAACCCCTGTGCAACACCGAGTGTGACCCCCCCCCCAAAAAAAAAAGATTACAGCCTCTAGCAGTGGATAAATAGTACAACGGTTAAGGAATTTGCTGTGACCTACCCCTATTAGAGCTGGAGCGATGGCACAGCGGGTAAGGCATTTGCCTTGCACGCAGCCAACATGGCTGACCCGAGTTCAATTCCTCCGTCTCTCTCAGAGAGCCCGGCAAGCTACCGAGAGTGCGGCAGAGCCTGGCAAGCTCCCCGTGACGTATTTGATATGCCAGACACAGTAACAACAAAGTCTCCAATGGAGACGTTACTGGGCCCGCTCGAGCAAATCGATGAATAACGGGAGGACCGTGACCGTGACCCATATTAGAATTAGCATTGCATATGGTCCCCCAAAAACCACCAGCCCACATGTAAGCATGCACAGAGCCAGGAATAGCCTACGGTCCAATACACACAAAGAATACAGCCTCTAGGTTACAGAGAGAGTACAGGGTGTGTGTGGCTGATCCTGGTTCAACTCCCAGCACCACATGGTGCTCAGGAATAACCTCTGAGCACAGAGTCTGGGCTAGTCCCTGAGCAATATGCAATACTGGGGTGGGGGGGGGGGGGAGAAGAAAAAGTGGAGGACGGGAAGGCAGAGGAGAGAGAGGCGGGTGAGGAGGAGGAGGCATCAACCTCTAGGATCAGAGTGACTTGAATATGAATCTTGGCTATGTAACTTATTAACTAACTGACCAATTGTGGTGCCCATCTGAAAGAGTCCCTAGAAATCCCCATCACCTGACATGCCCAACTCTGTATCAGATTGATTTGTGTTAAAACATTATGACTTCCATTCTGAACTCTCACTCACCTCTTGCTCTCTTGGATTATCTGCTTTGGGGAAGTCAGGTCCCATATGAGCCCTTATATGAAAAGGCCTATGTGGCAAAAAACTAAGGCTTGACAACAACTTAGAGGTAGTGCACGGAGAAAGTGAGCCTGAAGGGATGAAGAAATAGTAAAGGGTGAATAGAAACAGTAAGCAGTACCACCAGTGCTAGAAATCTCTGAGCACAGAGCCAGGAAAAAGACCTGAGCACTGTCAGATGTGGCACAATTCCCTATTCCCTCATAAAAAAGATTAAAAGAAAATTCTCCAGCCCCAGAAGAACCTGAGATACCCTATCGCCGAAGTGAAAATTTTAATTACAACCTCGTGAGAAAGCTTATGCCAAAACACAGGCTGTTTCTAGTAGCTCCACATTCCTGAACCACAGAAACTGAAAAATAAATGTTTTTCTTTTATTTTTTTATTTGTGGGCCATAACCAGCAATGCTCAGGGGTTACTCGTGGCTCTACACTCAGGAATTACTCCTGCAGTGCCTGGGGTGCCATATGGGATGCCCGGGATTAAACCAGGGTTGGCTGCTTGCAAAGCAAATGCCTTTCCCACTATACTATCCCCTGGCCCATTTTTATTTATTTTTTTCTTTGGGGGCCACACTCAACTGTGCTTGAGGCCTAGCCCTGGCTCTGTGCTCAGAGATCACTCCTGGTGAGGCTCAGGGGACTATATGTGGTGTAGGGGATTGAACCAAGTTCAGTGATAGACAAGGTATGCGCCCTCCTCACAATACTATCTCACTGGCCCCAGTAAGGTTTCTTTTAAATCACTAGGTTTGAGCATGGCTTGTTACACAGCAAGGAATAACTCACACTTGAGAAGGGATGGCAACACTCGATTTAGAGAAAATTTTAAAAAATGTGGGATCATGTCGGAGGAGCACAATGGCCTGGAGCACATGCTTTGCATGCAGAAGGCTGGGTTCAACCCCTACTACCACATGATTCCCTGAACACTAGTGGGTCTAGCCCCAAAATTAAAAAGAAAGGGCGGGGGCGGGGGGTGGAATTCAAAGCTATGGTGTCAATAAAAGGACTCTCGGACACGACTTACTCTCCTGAGCCTCAGTTTCCTTACTTGGCAAATGAGAAACTGAGATTATAATAATATATTACAAAGTAAACAGCACATCCTAAAACTAGAACATAAGATAATCAAGCTAAAAATAAAGTCTGTACCAAAACAAATCTAATCCCTAAAGTACTGAGGCTCAGAGATACCATCTAAAACAAGCAGAAAATTCATCTGCTAAGTGTTAGAAAAGTCAGTTTTTCCTGGTCTTCAAATAAAAACAAAAGATCAAATTTTACTTCTAAATGTCCTCCTCACCCCAAAACCAAAAATTTTCAAAGCATTACTTAAAAGTAAAATTTGTATCATTGCTTTAGATTTAAGAAACCCAAACTATTTAACTTACAGTCAATTGAGAAAGCTGGAGGTCTACACCAGCTGAAGTCAAATTCTTTCTGCTGTTGTTGTTGTTGGCTCAAACCTGGTAGTGTTCAGGGACTGTTCCTAGCAGTGCTCAGAAGACCATGTGGTCTGGGATTGGAGCCCAGGCCTCCCACATGTAAGCATGCACTCAGCCAATTGAACTATCTCCCTGGCCCTTGGAAGAATGCTTTAGACTGCTTCAGATCCTAGGCTTAGTATCTGAAATGAGGTACACTGAGTTGCTGGGCATCAAACTGCTCTTCTGTCCCCCGAAAAGTGGAGGTATTGATTCTTTTGTCAGACTCAATTCAGATACTTTTCAGGAAATAAAAATAATAAATTAGGATCACACTAACATTGTACAGCTGTTTTTGAACATTAAAGGTAAGAAGAATCTAGAGGGGCTAGAGAGATAGTTCAGTGGGCAGGGCAGTTTCCCAGCATGCGGTTCAACCCAGGTTCAATATCTGCACCTGTACATGGTTCCCTGAACCCCACCAGGAACGATCTTGAGCACAGGGACAGGAGTAAACCCTGAATATTACCAAGTATGGCCCAAAAACTAAAACAAAAAACAAAAAAAAATAGGGCCAGAGCCATAGTACAGCACATAGGGTGCTTACTATGCATGTGGCAGGCACAGGTTCAATTCGGAGCAACCTATATGGTCCCTTGACCAACACCAAGAGTGGTTCCTAAGTGCAGAGCCAGGAGTAAGCCCTGAGCACTGCTAGGTGTGGCCCAAACCACCTCCCCAGAACAAATTTTTAAACTATATAAGAGGGGCTGGAGCAATAGCACAGCCGGTAGGGTGTTTGCCTTGCACACGGCCAACCCGGGTTCGATTCCCAGCATCTCATATGGTCCCCCGAGCACCGCCAGGAGTAATTCCTAAGTGCATGAACCAGGAATAATTCCTGTACATCACCGGGTGTGACCCAAAAAGTAAAAAAAAAAAAAAAAAAAAAAAACAACAACAAAAAACCATATATATATATATATATATATATATATATATATATGAGAAACAGAGAAGAAAAAAATTCCTGAAAGCTTAAATTTTATTAAGACATGATGTTTTTGTATCTAGCTGCAATGGCTGTAACAAATTGTGATGGACAGTAAAATCCCCTTCAGGAAGCAGGATCTCCAGGCCAGGCTGCTCTGTGTACACACACACACACACACATACACACACACACACACACACACACACACACGAGGATGGGCCCCTCATACCCAGTGGTTCTCAGGGGCCACTCCTAGTGGTGCGAAGGAAATCATATGTGGTGCCTGGGATCAAACCAAAGTCATCACTTGCCTATCCCTATAATCTCTCTCCAGCTTTTGCTACATGAATAATATACCTAGTTAGAAGTCATAATAGGCTCCTAGGACAACATAAGCTAAGAATGGATGATAAGAAGTTGGAGAGTTAGCTCAACCCAGAGTTTGATCCCAGCACTAAGTGGCTCCCAGCACTATTGGACCCAAGCAGTCCCACACTGCCAAGTCCCACTCTGAATCATTAGGTCACAGAGCTGGGCATCCTGAGCACTGCTTGGGAGCCTCACTACCCACCCCAAAATATGTATAAATGCTAATAAGTAAATAATGAGAACCAGACACTAGTACCATAAGCTCTAGTTGTTCTTTCCCGATCTCCTGACTAGTGCTGACTACTGTGTAGTAAAAGCCCAAGAATGACTAGTGGCCTCGGATTCTTTCCCTCTGGATTATAATAATCACTCATGACCCCTTCTTCAGTATATCACCCCTGTTTGTCACACAGTGTACCTAAAAGTGACAATGAGGATCGGAGCATAATTCAAACTGTGCTTCCTGCTCCCCCCTAGCCCCCCCATTCAGAAAGATGAGGAAGTCCAGGCCATTAATTGTTTCCTAACCCTTCTCACACTCAAATGTGCTTTTCATGAAATCAAACATACACTGAAATTTTCAAACTATAAGTTTCCCGTCAATGGATTTGCACCTATTACTTTAGGGGGGAGTGGCTATATACTATAGAGGTTATTCCTGGCTTTGTACAAAGAAGTGACCCATGGAAGTGCTTCAAAGGCATATGCAGTGCTGAGAATTCAAACAAGGGTCAGCAGGATATAAGGCAAATGCCTCAACCCCTGTACAATCTCTCTGGCTCTGATTTTCACACATTAAATATACATGGTACTTACACATAGAGATCCATAGGAAACTCCTTCATCATGTGTGTTACAATAAACTCTACCATCAAGTCTGGATGGAAAAAGAAGAAAACTTAGATCAATCTTGATGAAATTCATTCCTAGCCTTTAAACTGGAAAAAAAGCCTTCTGAGTATTTCTTGTATACATGCAAAAGCCTTCCACTAACCACATCTTTATTCATATGCATTTACATTCATTTTACATAATGTACTTTTTGAAACTCTTCACCAACTGTCACAAAGAATAAGAAAATTAGTTCACCCTTATACTTCCAGAATACCTGCCAATAACTTCAGTTATATGGGAGACTTCACTGTACAGATATTTCATATAGTGGCATTAACACAAAATGCCACAGGGAAATCATATTGAGAACCAAGTGATGAGGCAAGCAGAGAAGAAATTAAGGATCATATTCTTATAACACAGACTCAGCTCTAAAGCTATGACAAGTCTATTTCATCTCACTATCATGCTCAATTTGGCAGATATTGACTGCAATGGTCTGTGGGGCTCTGGGTCAATAAAGGCTTATTATATGCTCTTAATTACTGTTTCAAAAATCAGGTAGATTTAGCAACTGGAGCTGACTACCCAAGTGAATGGGTTTAAGAGTTCAAATCATTCCCCTGAGGAAAATTCAGAATTCTGTGCAGATAAAATTACCTAAGATATAGCCCCCTACCTGTCATCTCTGTCAACCTCATCTCAGTTTAATTTACTCAGAGACGTTTTATATGCCTGAACCTTGAAGTTCAAGTCTCCTTGGCCAACTAACCCATCAATTTGGACAGGAAGAAAAAAGTTGAAATCTTGATTTCGATTAAGACTTTTTTTTTAAACAAATTTAAATTTTTTACACAACACAATTTAAAATTTAGCCACAATTTAAAATTATTTCCCTTTAAAGACTTTTTTTTTTAAAAAAGACAGCACCTTTTATTGGATATTTTATTCACATGGGGCTGCAATAATTAACAGTAAGTTCAACAATAAACATGGTTTCTTAGGCCAGAGATGAAACATGACTAGTCACTTCTAAAGGAAAAAGCCTATCAACCAGGATCAATCCAACATATGGATAGCACTGCAATGTAACACTGTCCTCCCATTGTTCATTGATTTTGCTCGAGCGGGCCAGTAATGTCTCCATTGTGAGACTTGTTGTTACTGTGTTTGGCATATCGAATACGTCACAGGTAGCTTGCCAGGATATTAATCACAAAAACCGAATACTGGCTCAGGAAGATGGTAATTTTGATGATACTCACCCAATACTGCACATACTAATGGGCGACAGGGGAGGTTCTTGTCTGCTGCCTTCTTTCTGTGTCTCATAGGCTTCACACACAAGAAAGAAAATTAATAAACACCTGAACTGACATCCAATGGTTCACTGTCACCTTTTTCATCTAATGGTTCATGCAAATAAAACCACTATAACAGAGATGCTACTTTTCTATTTTTCTAATGGTGTGGGTGGGCTGGCCAGGGGGACTTGTTTTTCAATTATCAAGGCAAGTCTATAACAAAAACATAATTCGCAGCAAGACAACAGTCCCAGAGAATGCCAGAGCAAAATACAATGGGAAAGCTGTTGTTTTCACTCTGATTTTATCTATAAAGTGACCTTACTAACAACAAAAGAGGTGCACTGGTATCTTTCTTTGGAACAATCGAATAATTAATAAAAGGAAAAAGTGATTATGTAGAGGCAGAAAAAAAAAACCCTAAAGGAATTTCTAATATAAACCACAATGTCCTACTGTTTTAACACACTTCCAAGCTTCTGGAGCTGCCAGTACCCCTCCTCTCAGAGGAATAAAGCAACACCTGGTCTTCACAAAGACCACACTACAGACACATCTATCCCCTAGATCAGATTACATTATTGATGCATTCTAACATTACTGCCATGGGTATATGGTTACATATATTTCCATTTTCTCTTGAGTCAGATACAGCTCTATACCACACAAAAATCCCAACAAGAAGCATGGGCGTGTTGAACAGTAGTCAACAAGAGTCCTTTTGCCCAACTTTCCTCCCACATTTGTTCTAGTAGGATCAATTTCCTCCTCCCAATCCTGCTAATCCCAAAAATTTTCGCTAGGAAAAAACAAGAAGCAAAAGCCACACATACCATTCTATGCAAGTTTACTCGAAAATTCATGTTGTCATCGTGCAAAAATGCATTAGCATACTGATCCTAATAAAAATTACAACAGAGAAAAAGTAAGAAATAGAGGCTATGTTTAAGTAACTAAACTTATAATCTATCACACTTGCTACAGATCCTTGGATTTTAGACAGTACTCTGGAGAGCAATTTGAAGGGCTAATGGAATGAGTCCAGCATCTCTATGTCAAAACCCACTTAAGCCATGAGATTTTACTTGGACGTCTTTCAATGTGTCTTTCCAACTGGCCAAAAATCTCTAAGCAAATTATAAACAACAAGTTAGAAACAACAAAAATTAAGAGATAGGGACTTGAAACAAATGCTGAGATAAGTCTGTTTTTCTAGTCTCTCTTCCTTCCCATCTGCCCGAGGAGCACACTCTGTTTGTGACAGCTTGAAGGTTTCACAGGGGCTGCAGGCTGCATGTGCAAGCTCCAAATGAGGATCCATGATGAAGGCCTGTACTCCACTGGGAGCTGGTTTGGCACAGTAAGAGAAAACTGCCACACAGCCAGCACTGCAGCAGGTAAGACCCTGTCTATCCTTGCTTTGTTGAAGACTGACGGAAAATCAAAAATCTCTCACCATAGATCAGTAATAACATCCCTTGGCCCTTTCCTAACACCTTTTCTAAAGATCTGACATGCCTACAGACTCCAATTACTAGAACTGTTACAATTTGTGAAAAACAACTTCTTTAACGATTTTCTTAGAAAGATTTTTGAAAAGCAATTACAAAAGGCCCACTGCTAATAAGCAATACCACTGCTAATACACTTCTATAACCAGTTGCACTAAACCTGGCGAAAATAGGTCATATATATATGTTTTTTTTCTTTTTGGGTCACAGCAGCATTGCACAGAGGTTACTCCTGGCTCTGCACTCAGGAATTACTCCTGGCAGTGCTCGGGAAACCATATGGGATGCTGGGAATCGAACCCGGTCGGCCGCGTGCAAGGCAAATGAATAGGTCATATTTTTACAGAGAGCATAAAAAAGGATAGAGAGAGAGAGAGATCTCTTCCACTTGGACCTCCTTTATTATTTTACTTAGGAGGAAAGATCAGAATAAGACAGGAGGAGGGGCTGGAAAAATAGCACAGAGGATAAAGTGCTTGCTTTGCACATGGCCAACCTAAATTCAATCCCTAGCACCCCATATAGTCCCCTGAGCCAACCAGGAGTGATCCCTGAGCACTGCAGAGCCAGGAGTAAGTCCTGAGCACCACTAGTGTGATCCCAAAACAAAAAAAAATAAATAAAAAAACTTCAGGGGAACTGAAGCTACAAATTTACATTTAAATGTTATCTCATGGTAATTCAATTAAAAACTAATTTTTTAAGTAAAATATTTTTTTAAAAAAGAACAACTATCAACCAAGACAGATTCACCAAAAAAAATATAATAACAAAATAAAAAAGGACTCATTAGGTCATACCTGTGTTGCCACCAAGACTTAGGGTGAGATATAGCCATATTAATGCAAGCAAGAGTGCCTCTCTCCAAGGTCAAAGGACCTCTTCTTTTGATGCTCTCAAGTTCTTATTCTTACTTGGGTCTTGGGAGCCACACTTAGCAATACTTGAGTTGGTTCTGCCCAGTGCATCTCAGACCCAGCAGTGCAGAGGGCTGTCAGGAACACCTCAACAATGCTTAGGAGACCATGCAGTGCCAAGAATCAACCCAGGGCCTCCGTATGTCAGGTACGTACTCCAGTCTTTAAGTTATCTCCTGACCCCAAAACAATTTTTTGAGGGGAAGAGAGGCAATTCTAGGGACCAAACCCAGAGCCTCATACATGCAAGATAAGTGTCCTACACTAAGCTACATCCCTGACCTCTCCTATTCTTCACACAACTTTATTCAGTTTTTAATTCCACTGTTTGATTTTTTTTTCTCCACCTCCCTACCTACACAAAAAACTTGAATTCCTTCTCCCATTTTCCTGAATAAAAAAGACACAACTTGAGCAGCTTTAAAGAATTTTTTTTTCTAAAAAGGCTTAATTATCTCTCGTATTTGGGTTTTGGTTTTAGTTTTTTGTTTGGGGACCACACCTGGCCGTACTCAGGGGTAACACCTGACTCTGTGCTCAGCTATCACTCATGGTAGGCTCAGGGATCATATGGGATGGCAGAAGTTGAATCTGGGTGGTTGCATGCAAGACAAGTGCTCTACCCACTGTACCATCATTCTGGCCCAATCTTTTAAACTGTGAAAAAGCTAGAATATTCCAATTCCCAATTATAACAGTTACCATATGACAATTCGCAATTAAGTCATGTAGCAAATGCTAACAAGCATCTCCACTATGTGCCAAACCTGAGAATATTTTAGTGTAGGAGACAAAGTATCTGTACTTTGTGGGAAGAGACAAATAATTCCAAGGGGAAAGAATTTTCCTCCCAAGCTTTGAACCAAAAAAGTCAGACATAGGAACTGAAGCAGAAGGGCAAAAAAAAAAAAAAAAAAAAAACACAGCACTTTGTTTGTTTGTTTTTGGGTGACATTCACGGTGCTCAGGGATTACTCCTGACTGGGCTTGAGGGACCATATGGAATAAAAACCGAATGCTAATCAGACACATGCAAGGCAAGTACCCATGCACTATCTCTGGCCTTGTACTTTGTAAGATATTAGTTAATACCAGAAGATTGGTGAGACCTACCTCTGCAATACAAGTAAGGATAATCAGACAAAGTTTGCCACTGTGAAGTCGGTGCTCATCTGTAAAGAAAAAAATAACACTTCTCTCTAAATCGTCCAGATCAAAGTTTTTTTTCATTTCTCTTTTAAACCATTTTTATTGAGGCATCAGGATATACAATACTGCTAACCACACTTTTCATGCACCCATCACCCCATCACCACCACCACAGAGCCTGCTTCTCTCCTCAAGTGTCATGGACTCCTCTCAACTCCACCCACTTCAAGACAGACAAAATTTACAGTTCTAATGACTCTGACCATTTCTTGTTCTCTTACAATGTTCCTCCATCCTGACCCCCATATATTGGAGAGATCTGTTCTTCGTGTGGAATAAGTTACACCAATACACATATGACGAATAGAGCTTATCTCCTAAAGTTAAAAACAATATTTTTTTCCCAAAAAAACTAAATCTGGACTGGAGCAGTGGATAGGCAACTTGCCTTGCATGCAGCCAACCTGTATTCAATCCCCAGGAGTGATCCCTGAGCACAGAGCCAGGAGAAAGCCCTGAGCACTGCTGGATGTGGCCCTCTCCATCCCCGAAAAAAAAAAATAACCTCTAAATCTTTATACACTTGAGGATATTTTGGGGTGGCTTTTTTTGGGGGGGAGGGGCCCACACCTGGCTGCCCAGTAGGGTTTACTACTGGCTCTGTGCTTAGGGATCACTCCTGGAAATGCTCAGGGCACCATATGGGATGCCAAGGACTGAACTTGAGTCAGCTGCATGCAAGGTAAGCACATTACCCACTGGACTATATCACTCTGGTCTGGTCCTTTTTAATAGTTTTATAAATTTAAATATTATAGATATTTCTACAGTAACACATTTTAGAACTTACGCAAAATAAGTAAATCCTATAAATGTAAATTTTAATAAGACTGAAAAGAATTCAGAAAATTTACAAGACAGAGTGACAGTACAGCAGGTAGAGCGCTTGCCTGGCACATAGCCAATGAGAGTTCGAACCCTGGTGTCCCATATGGTCTCCTCAGCTCTGCCAGAAGGGATTCCTGAGCACAGAGCCAGGAAAAAGCCCTGATCACCTCCATATGTTCCCGAAACCGAAAAAGAAATTATACTACAGATAATGCTGTCAGACGAAATTTCTAAAGAATAAACATATCACTGAGGTGCACATTCACATTTCCCTCCCCACAAAATTTATGAATGAAAGCTAAGGTTCTACTAAAGTAATTCTCAAAATTTCCCCCAGAAAAGTTTTCCTTAAGTGTTGCGGCAACCTGATGGATAGTTAGTCACCCTCCTGAGGGTCATGAAATTACTAAAGTAGTTCCACCATCACAGCCCCAACCACATCCTTTGAATCTGCATCAATCCTGTTCTACAGAAGAGTACATGTCCTCTTCCATCCCTGCTCACCCACCCTCCACACCCATCTACCACAGTCTAGAAAGGTTGGATAACTGTTCCCAAAAACACAGACATAGAAATTAACAAAAGGTCAGTCACTGGCCCATGCATCTCCTTACACGGTGCCCATTACTTCTGACCAAGAAACAATAAACTCCAAATCTCATTCTCCCTGCCAAAGTGTTCAACCTACAAATATATATTTAGTACCTGTAGCACTGTAGCACTGTCCTCCCGTTGTTCACTGATTTGCTCAAGCGGGCCCAGTAACGTCTCCATTGTGAGACTTGTTGTTACTGTGTTTGGCATATCGAATACGTCACTGGTAGCTTGCTAGGCTTTGCTGTGCGGGCAAGATACTTAGTACCTCCTCTGTGCAAAGGCACTGTGCTAAGCACAAGGGATTGGAACTAAAGTAAACAAAGGTGCCTGGTTTCTCAAAATTTACATTTCAGTTAAGAAAGAAGGCAGAGGGACTGGAGCAATAGCACAGCGGGAAGGGCGTCTGCCTTGCACGCGGCCGACCCTGGTTCAGTTCCCAGCGTCCTATGTGGTCCCCTGAGCATCGCCAGGAGTGATTCCTGCATGCAGAGCCAGGAGTAACCCCCTGTGCATTGCCAGGTGTGACCCAAAAAGAAAAAAAAAAAAAAGAAAGAAAAAGAAAGAAGGCAGAGCCATCCTGGCGGCCTCCATACCTGACCTCTGCCATTTCAGCTTGCTCACCTCCGTATGTCAGACCCTCTCCTTGTTCCCCCCTCAACCCCCCCTCCCCCAGGGCTTTTTGGAACAGGAAGTACACATAGCACAGCAGATAAGGCACGTGCCTTGCATGCAACTGACCCAAGTTCCATCCCCAGTACCCAATATGGTCCACCAAGCAGTGCCAAGAGTGATTCCTGAGTACAAAACCAGGAGGAGGCCCTGAATATCACCAGATATGGTCCAAAAACAGAAACAAAAAATAATAGTAGAAATAAATATTTGAAAATCATACAATTCTAGTATAAGGAACAAAACAGAGTTTAAAAGAAAACTCGGGGGTCAGAGAGATAGCACAGCGGCTAAGCTGCTCGCCTTGTACACAGTCTACCTGGGTTCTATCTCTGGTACCCTATATGGTTCCTGAGCCCTCCAGGAGTGATCCCTCAGCAGAGCGAGGAAAAAGTTCAGAACATGGGAGGCAGGGCTGGGGGTGGAGGGAGGAGCACAAAAACATGAACAAACAAAAACACTGTCTAGAATTTGCTGAATTTTCTCTCATTCCTTCTCCTGTTTAGCGCAACTATTTCACTACCCTGGCTACCAGTTAAAAGATTATAAAAAAAAAAAAAATCACAAACAGAGGAAAAACAGAAAACCAAAGAAATTAAGGCTCAACTTTCCCAAACAACCATTTCTCTCCCACATCCACTTGCATTTCTGCGGTGGGCATGGCAGTTCTATTTTAAGTGTTAAGGAACACAGTCCCTCTGAATCTCACCTTCCTACTGTACTGTGTATGACAGTCCTCTAATTCTCACCACAAGCTGATGCTTTCAGTTCTTGTCCTCAGAAGGGAATTCCCTGAAGTGAGCGCTCCCCCCACTTCCCACACATGCGTTTGCATCTACTTACCAAAATCTGCTAAGACTTGCTACTTTTTGTAGAGACCAATTTTTTTTCCTGTTCTATTTTGAAGCACTCCCCCTCCAACTCCAGGTTTTCCCAACACCACCTAATTACCATCTGGTAGTGAAAAATCTCTGTTTTCTATCATCAAGACCATCACCCTGCACAGGAGGCCCCTATGGTTCATCCAATCAAACCTCGTAAGCATTCAGGCTGCTCCTTGCTTTGAGGTTAGCAGCCACACCTTCTGCTTCCTGAGCCCCCAGAGTAACATGCCTTACCTTTGGTGTCCTGCATGACAATTGAGCTATACTTCAGGAAGGTTATCAGTAGATTACTGGTCTGTACATCTGCATCCAGTGGGAGTTCCACAGAACTTATAACTGAAATAGAACAGATGAAATGCACTTAGTCAACAACATTCCATCTAACACCTCTACATAAATAACCAACTTTCCAAGAGGCCAGGAAATCACTGAAGAGGCTTTTTCTACCACAAAGGACTGAGTACTTATCATAAAACCTTTACCTACTGTTCATGTGTCTCTAAAGTCCTTCTTACTCCCAAGATTAAGTTCAGTGCCCCTTTCTCACATTTCAGAGGCCAGTCTTCCGGAGCAGTATCAAATTCCAACATCTGAAGGGAATTTTTATTACAATTCTAGAATCCAAAGGGTTCAAGGTCTTTTATTATTACTCTTATTATTGTTGTTGTTATTGCAATTTTATTTAATTTTATTGGGAGGATGGGTCACATCCAGCAGTACACAGTAACTACTCCTAGCTCTGCTCCTGGGAGTTTCTCCGAGGGATGATCAGAGGACCACGTAGTACAGGTACAGAACTAAGATTGGTACACTGCAAGACAATAACTTAGCCCTTACACCATCTCTTCAGCCCCCACTGCTATCACTTTAACTGAACTTGGCTTATAAACTACATAAATTACATAACAATTACCAAAGTATTTTTCATCTTCTACTACACAAATTTACCCTTTCAACCCAATTTTACCCACCCTTTTGACCCTTACTTTCTGTTAATAACCTTTTTTTGGTTTTTTGTTCATTTTTGTTTTGGGGTCACATCCAGCAATGCTCAGGACTTACTCCTGGCTCTGCACTCAGGAATCACTTCTGGAAATGCTGGGGGACCATACTGGGTACTAGAGACTGAATCCAGGTTAGCCTCATTCAAGACAAGCACCCTATCTGCTGTACTATAGCTCTGCCTCTCCCATTTTGTTCTTATAGCTAGTTTTAGATTTGGCCTATTTGTTTATTTGTTTTTCTTTATTTTCTATATAGGAGTGAAAACATACAGTATGGGTAAAAACATGCAGTATTCCAAAAATGAGTAAGAACCATAAAGGAGACATAAAGGAGAAATCTTTTTCAACTTTGAGAATAAGTCTTTACACAAAAAATATCCAAGATGGAAAGGAGAAAAAAAAATCAGAAACATGTTCAGCAGCCAAAGAGATGGTACAGCAGGCAGGGTGCTTTCCTTGCAAAGAGCTGACCCAGTTTTTTGGGTATTTTTTTTTTGCTTTTTGGGTCACACCCAGCGATGCACAGGGGTCACTCCTGGTTCTGCACTCGGGAGTTACTCCTGGTGGTGCTCAGGGGACAATATGGGATGCTGGAAATTGAACCCAGGTCGGCCGCGTGCAAGGCAAACACCCTACCCACTGTGCTATCTCTCCAGCCTGTGACCCAGTTTTGATCCCCAGTATTCCATAAGGTCCCCCGAGCACTGCCAGGAGTGATTCCTGAGTGGAAAGCCAGGAATAACCCCTGAGCACTGCCAAAACACCAAAAAAACTTTAAAACATCCGTTCAATTTCTACTCCTTAATTCACCTTTACACCTAACTCCAAAACGGACCCTGAAAGGAAATACCAGGCTGCAAATATGTACATGAGTAACTTGGACAATCTAGAAACAGAGTTTTACATACCCAGCAATTTGCTATTTTGAAAAGAAACCATCCACCCCCCCAGTCTTTGAGTCATAGTCCTAGTAAACAATAAGAGGCCAGACCAAAGTTGAGCCACGCAGAAAAGCTTATGTAGATTTCCCGAGTTTCTAAGACTTTAAATTAGACTAAGACATCTAGTTAAGTGCTTTAATACTAAAATATACCATATAAAACAGGAGAAGACTCAGGAAGGCCTAGTCTACAAAGAGAATCTACAGCTTTCTACTCTATTTTCACCCCTGAAGACTCAGCTAAGTTTAAGATGTTATTCATAATATGTATTATAACCATAATGGATCCCTCTGGAGTTATTATGATGTATGCAGAGAACATTTATTAACAATGGGAAACATTTGCATATTATGGATCCATAATATACAGCAAGCACAGCAAAAAAAGTCTTGGGGGGGGGGGGGAATTAGCATGCCCAACCCTTGGCTGTTTTCCCACAGTTCAGCCCCCAAGAACTAATAAAAGACAAACACATTTTTACGTTGAAATATTAAAAGATCTTAATTCATGTTACAGGTTAATGAACTGAGACTGTCATTTCAAACAGCTTATTTTGAAGCTCAGAGTCTGTAACCATTCCTTTGTCCAATACAAAGATCTAACTGGTAAGTGGGACTATTTTTCCCACTCACATGCAGCAGTAACTGGAAAATCTCTTATGTAATATGTAGAAATAAAGAAGTATATGTATTTTTAGTTTACCAGAAAGTCCTCTCATGCCAAGGCTGAGTTGTCAAATGTCAAGCCTGAGCTGAGAACAAATGTTACAGCTAAAGTGCTGGTTTTTAAAAATAATGGCTCCAGTTACATACCTTCAAATATAACTAGAGCTACTGAGCACCACCATAATTAAAAACCAAAACCTGAAAACAAGACTATAATATTTAGGACCCCTATAGAAGGGAAATTATTTAGAAGAGAGAAAAAATAACGACAACAAAAAGAAATCAAACAAAATCCCTCACACATTGCAATCTCCCTTCTAAGGAAGAGATTTCTTGTTCTTTGACTTATAATTCTTCACAGAAACCTTTGTTAAACAAGACAGTCATTGGAAAAGGGGCCTACTTTCTCTTTCCACTAGGGGAAAAGAAAAAAGGCTCACTGGTTGTAAGCAAGCAAGCACAAATTTTACCATTGCATAATCAAATGTGTGGGTGCAAGTATTCACAATGAACAGTATGAAAAGCAGTTCTCTAAGGCATCCAAATCTCAGCATCACACGGAACACAGAAATCCATACACATATACATGTACATATATATACAGCTTTTGATATCCATGGCAACTAAGCAGGCTTCCTCCTTAGAAGGGAAAGAAAAGTACTGCCATGGGATTATTCAGTGACCTGAATAAGCAGACACACTAGACATTCCTCACTGCTTGTTCCTTCTCATTACAGATATTTTGGAATTTGACTTTCGATTCTAAGTAGATGCAATTTGTTACAAAGACTTGACCATCAATGGCAGTTCCCTATCATGCTTCTGTTGCAACACTACTTATACTATCATCCTGAACTGCCATTGTCATGGGTACTGGATGAAAGAGTAAAGAAGAGAAAACAAATTAAATAAGGTTACCTCAGGAACCGGAAAAGAGCTCATGAGGCTGGAGTAACTGCAAAGCACAGTGGAGCCCAGGTTCAGTTCTTGAAACTGGGTAGACCACTGAGCATCACTGGGGGCAATCTCTGAGCAATGCAAGCAGTTCCCAAGTACCACTGGGTATTGTCTCAAAACCAAAAAGGGAAAAAGAAAGAAGGGCCAGAGCAGGCTTAGCTGAGCACACACTTTGCAAGCAGGAGGCAAGGGTTTGATTGCCAGTATCACATGGTCCCCGAAACATTGACAAGGGGGTCCCTTAAGCCAGGAGTAGACCCTGAGCATGGAAAATGTACTGTTCCCCCCCCCAAAAAAAAAAGAAGGGCAGTAGAGAAGCACAAGAACTATGGTGCTTGCCCTGACTGCTACCAATCCCACTTCAATCCCTGGCACCACATGGTTCTCCAGCACAAAGCCAGAAATAGCCCTCAGCATTGCTGGATGTGGCCCAAACCCTCCTTCCCCCCCATCACTGTAACTGTCACTGTCCTCCCGTTCATCGATTTTCTCGGGTGGGTACCAGTAACGTCTCCATTGTGAGACTTGTTACTGTTTTTGGCATATCGAAAACGTCATAGGTAGCTTGGTACCTATGGGTAGCTTGCCAGGCTTTGCCGTGCAGGCAGAATACTCTCAGTAGCTTGCCGGGCTCTCAGAGAGGGGCGGAGGAATCAAACCCACATCGTCCGCGTGCAAGGCAAACGCCCTACCCACTGTGCCCCTCCTTCCCCCAAAAAGAATTACTTCACTGTATAGACAAGAGGGAGATACAAAGAAAAAAAATTAAAATTAGATTTCCTATTCTTCCTGTCCAAATGAGATCAACATATGAGGCAAACATCAAGTATAAACATTGCTTTTAAAGGAAAAGGAGAAAGAGAGCAAGAAGGAAAGTGCCTCCCATAGAGGGAGGCTGGAGGTGGGAGGGTGGGGCATTGGGGGATGGTGGGAGGAAAACAGGGAACATTAGGGGTGGGAGATGTACACTGGTGGAAGAAAGGGTGCTGGATCACTATGAACAGCTTTGTAATGGTCTATCTCACAGATACTCAATTTTAAAAAATGTTTTAATTTGAAAAAAAAATGTGAGTTCACACAACCCAAAAGGAGAGAGAGAACAAAAAGGAATGCCCTGTCACAGAGGCGGGGTGGGGTGGAGGGGACGGGTCGGGGGTGGTGGGAGGGATGCTGGGACCATTGGTGGTGGAAAATGGGCACTGGTGGAGGGATGGGTACTCAACCATTGTATGACTAAGACACAAGTACAAAAGTTTGTAAGTCTGTAACTGTACCCCACAGTGATTCACTAATAAAAAAATTTTTTTAAAATGTGGGGTTCATGCTCATTTCAATCAGCTTAATCAATGGTTGAATGAATAGCAATACTCCTACATTTAAAAATAAATCATTGCTTTTAGGTTAAGACATTCCTCTAACATATACAGCTTACTACAAACCAACCCGAGGCAGAAAAATGCATTGGACAAAACTCATATTTGTTTTCTTACCTTTTTTCTTAAGTTATAGCCATAAAACTTATAAAATGAAATTTTGTCCTTTTTGCCTTGTTTTTGCAAAGCCAAGATCAAACCCAGGGCCTTGCATATGCAAAGCAAGTCAAGCAAACACAATTGCTAAACTACAGCATCAGTTCTATTTGGTTTCGAGGGTTTTTGTTCTGTTTTGGGTCTCCCACTTTGGGATATTCAGGTGTTACTAGTTCTGGCTCTACACTGAGAGAAATTACTCCTGGTGAAAGTCAAGGGATGCCAGGCATCTTACCCTAAGACAGCCACATGCAAGGAAATTGCATATTGGCTCTACTATTGCTCTAGCCCCTATTAGTTATTTTTTAAGAGAAAATCCACCAAACTAAAATTAAATTACATTCAAAGTTTTTCATTTTCTAACTGAAAGCTAATGGCGGATATATAACAGTGAGAAAATGTCAGGTTCACTATTATTTATTGATTCAGGAATATATCAGCTGGAGTATAGTGAGCAGGGTGCTTGTCTTGCATGCTGACAACCTGAGTTCGATGCCTATGGTTCCCCAAGCCCACCAGGAGTGATCCCTGAACACAAAGCCAAAGCCAAGAATCAGTCACAAGCACAACTGAGTTTGGTCCCTCACAGAAAGAAAGAAAGAAAGAAAGAAAGAAAGAAAGAAAGAAAGAAAGAAAGAAAGAAAGAAAAGCTATGTTCTTTGCTCAACACAGTTATGTTCACTCCAAAAGAGGCAGTAAGCTTACCATCAGAAGAGGGTGGCGTGGTCCCAAGTGGTGTGACAGGAGTTGTTGGGGCAGGACTGACAGGGGTTGTCACCAAGCCCATTTCTGGGTGATTCTGAAAGAGCACAGAGATAGGAAAATAAGAAGTTCTGAATATTCTTTGCTTAATATTCATTCTGGTATTCCTGGTCTCATCTCACAATTAGACATAAAGTTTATTAAGGGGACTGCTTTTACATTTGGTTCCCATGAGTACCTGATTACTGTTGAGGCTTGCTTAAACACTAATGAAAAGCTCTGAGACCTAGTTTTCTTTAAACAATGAAGTTGCTATTATATAAGTTTTTCTGCATAATGATACAAAGAAAAAACTAGGGTAAACAAATACACAGGACTAGTCTACAACAGGACATCAGTGGAGCCATTGTGGAGCAATGGTACAGTGGATAGGATGCTTACTTGTATGTGGCCAACCTAGGTTCAATCCCACATATCCCATATGGCCCCTGAGCAATGCCAGGAGCAATTCCTGAGTGTAGAATCAGAAGTAAGTCCTAGGAATGCCCTGCACAGAGGCAGGGTGAGATGGAGGGACAGAGGGTGGGAGGGATGCTGGGACCTGTGGTGGTGGAGGATGGGCGCTGGTGGAGGGATGGGTACTTGATCATTGTATAACTGAAACCCAAGCACAAAAATTGTAAGTCTATAACTGTACCTCATGGTGTTTCACTAATAAAAAAAACAAATAAATATAAAAAAAAAAAAGAATCAAGCCCTGGGACCGCCTAGTATGGCCCCAAAAAACAAAAAATGGACTTTGTAATCCTATCTAAAGTTAGGAAGGAATAACTCTGATCATATAAAGCTAGGAAGGAATCACTCTGATCATGTAAAATACGGGAAATACGGCCAGGGAAACAGTTCATACTTTGCTTACAGGAGCCTCAGGTTCAATCCCTTATGGTCCCTGAAACACGAGGAGAGTGAACTGCAAGCACCAACACAGGAGTAGTCCCCAAGGATCACCAGATATAGCACCCAAAATAAAACAATAACAATGTGTAGAGAAGGGAGAAACTTAGGGAAGTTTCTGAAAACAAAATGACTCCTTAGTGTCTGACCTTACCTAGTTATCCCAATCTCAACAACTCTTTGAGACTTAAGCAACAATGGCAGCTTAGAAATTTTTTTGTCTAACAGCTTCATCAGACTCTTACAAATGAGGGGCCAGAGAGAGAGAAGAGCAGATAAGGCATTTTCCTTGCACCTGCTGGACAGGTTCAATCCCTGACATCTCATATGGTCTCCCAAGTCCCATGAAGAGTAATCTCTAAGCACAGAGCTAGGAGGAAGCCCTGGGGATCACCAGGTATGCACCCTCCAACAACAACAACAAAAAAAACCAGCAGATAAAAGTTTCCTATGCTATTGTCATGAAAAAAGTGGCAGGAGGTAGCAGGAGGAGGGAAAAAAAAGATAATGTCCTAGGAAGATCCCACATTAGCATATATATATTTTTTTGGCTTTTGGGGTCACACCCGGAGATGCACAGGGGTTACTCCTGGCTCTGCACTCAGGAATTACTCCTGGCGGTGCACAGGATACCATATGGGATACTGGGAATCGAACCCAGGTTGGCTGTGTGCAAGGCAAACACCCTACCTGCTGTGCTGACACTCCAGCCCCGAGCATTTTTTTTTAAGTATAATCTTATTTTGTTGTTGAAAATCAGTGGATTCCAGAAAACAAGGCAGAGAAATGAAAACTAAAATTTAAAAAAAAAAAATCAAGGGGCTGGAGCAATAGCACAGCGGGTAGGGCGTTTGCCTTGCACGCAGCCAACATGTCCGACCCTGGTTCGATTCCCAGCATCCCATATGGTCCCCCGAGCACCACCAGGCGTAATTCCTGAGTGCATGAGCCAGGAGTAACCCCTGAGCATCGCCGGGTGTGACCCAAAAAGCAAAAAAGTAAATAAATAAATAGAACATAATTTAAATAAATAAAAAGAAAACCAAGGGCTGGAGCGATAGCACAGCGGGTAGGGCGTTTGCCTTGCACACAGCCGACCCAGGTTCAATTCTCAGCATCCCAGATGGTCCCCCGAGCACCACCAGTAGTTCCTGAATGTATGAGCCAGGAGTAACCCCTGAGCATCGTCAAGTGTGACCCAAAAAGCCAAAAATAATAAATAAAAAGAAAAAATTTTTAAAAAAAGGAAAATCAGTGTATTCTATACTTATCTGCCTTTTGAGAAAAAAAAAAAGGAAAATTTTCTTTTAAAAGAAACCTGCATACATATTTTAAACGCTCTGGTTTTAAGATAAAAATACTTCATCAATTTTTTAAGACAGCTTTTATGAGCAGCACTTGAGTTCTCAGCCTAAAATAGTCCCCTTCTGTGCCAACTGCTAAGGATATCCCTTAGACAAGTGACCTGAAACTCACTATTCTATGATTTCCTGTTTCCAGGAGCTATAGAGCACTTTTTCTGTTAACAGCTAACTTTATCCTAGACAGGGTTTTTTGGTTTTGTTTTGGGACCAAACCTAGAGGTACTCGGAGATCATTACTGGTGGGCTCAGGGAACTAAGGGTGCCCAGGATCAAACCGGGGTCCACTGTGTGCAAACCAAGTGAGTTGTCCACTGTGCCATCCCTCAAGCCCTTAGATAGGATAATTTTTTTAATTAAAAAAATATTTATTGAAGGACCCATAAAGACAGTATAGGTGTAAGGACTTGCTACTGACACTGGCTTGACCCCTGGCACTGCACATGGTCTTCTGAGCCACCACCAAGTGTCAACTTTTTTTTTTTAATTTTTATTAGTGAGACACCATGAGGTACAGTTGTAGACTTACAAATTTTGTGCTTGGGTTTCAATTATACAATGATCAAATACCCATCCCTCCTCCAGTACCCATTTCCCACCACCAGATAGGATAATTTTTTAACTGTTTTTTTCTAGAAACTGTTGAAATAATAACATAAGTGACTTGACCTATTTTGTCTCTATTTCTACAATGGTTCAGAAAGCAGAGAACATAATATAAAAATCCATGTGAGCAAATAATAGCAAGAGTCTTTGGCTGACAGGTTACTAAACTTGTCAAAACTATTAACTTTACCTGCTATCAGCCTCACATTAGGGCCAGAGCAACAGTACAGAAGGAAGAGCGCTTGCCTTGAATGCGGCTCACCCAGATTTGACCCCTGGCACCCCAAATGGTCCCCCTTATCCCTCCAGGAGTGATCCCTGAGTACAGAGCCAAGAGTAAAACCTCAGCATCACCGGGTGCTGGGGATTAAAAAAAACCTAACTCAGCAGCACAATAGACATATTTGAGGATACTATGATATAAAGGAAACTGAGGCAAAGTAAATGTGTACAAAATTTAGGAATAAAAGGGACTGGAATTTTTAGTATAACCCACCTGGGCTAACACCGTGATGAAGTTGCGATTTAAATGAACAGCTTCGTAAAGTGCCAGAAGGATAGCTTCATTGGTTCTAAAGAATAGAAGAACAAATCAGAGAGACACTTAGAGTGGAGGAGTTAAAACAGTACAACTTAACAGGATAAGGTTTTACATCACAGGGGTGGAGAGATAGTACAGGGGTTAAGATGTATGCCTTTGATGCATCCAACTCAGGTTCAATCCCGGCATTATACAAGGTCCTCTCACAGTCAACACAGAACCAGGAATAGCCCTTAAGCATCACTGGCTGTGGTCAAAACCAGAATAAAAATAAAGACCTTAGGAGCTGGAGTGATGGTACAGTGGATAGGGTGCTTGCCTTACACACAGCCTTCCAGGGTTCGATCCCCCGCATCCCATATAGCCCCCAAGCAGCACCAGGACTAATTCCTGAACACAGAGCCAGGAGTAACCCCTGAGCATCCATGGGTGAGGCCAAAAAAAAAAAAAAGGCAAGCACTAGGCAGCTCTCCAAGCCCATGCTTTCCCTTAAACATGTGTCCCACTTGTTTGACTCTATGTTTCTTTGCTCCCTTTGTTCTCTGTTGAACACAGTTCCCCTATTTCTCTCCTCTCACATTCTTCCCTCTCTTTCCCCTCACATCTTTCTAAATAAGTTTCAATACAAACTATCTTGTTTCACCAGTAGAGAAAGTGTATCAGGCACTTACTGTACTGAGATCTTCTCATGGGCATCTGCTATGAACATGCTGCCCACCTGTGGAAGGAAAGGGGAACTGCAGATTACATCACAGGAAAGTTAGAGCTCCAAGCTTTTCTATCAGGCTGAAAAATCAAGCTGCCTACAGCCAAGAAAACTTTCAACTCTGGCCCATCAGTCACACACTCAAAAGTAGCACATATGAAGATCTTAAAAGAATCAGAACTTACAAATAAATGAATGAGAACTCCACAAAATCATTGTTCCTTAAAGGTACTTGATGGCCGGAGCGATAGCACAGCGGGTAGGGTGTTTGCCTTGCACACGACCGACCCGGGTTCGATCCCCGGCATCCCACATGGTCCCCCAAGCACCGCTAAGAGTAATTCCTGAGTGCAAAACCAGGAGTAACCCCTGAGCATTTCTGGGTGTGACCCAAAAAAGAAAAAAAATAAATTGGCTTCTAAAAAAAAAAACTTTTAAAAAAAAAGGTACTTGAAAAATTATCCCCAGTACTTTTCTCCATCTCACTGGCAGGAAATAAATAAATTAAAAATCCTTGACACTCCATCACTGACACTCCAGCACAGAAGGTAGGGCATTTGCCTTGCACGCTCCTGACCCAGGTTCGATTCCCAGCATCCTATATGGTCCCCTGAGCACCACCAGGAGTAATTCCTGAATGCAAAGCCAGGAGTAACCCCTGTGCATTGCCAGGTATGACCCAAAAAGAAAAACAAAATGCCTACCCTCTAAAAATCCCCTTATCTGCTAGGTATAAAACTTTTTCTTCCTGAAAAAAAGGCCAAAACCCCTGGCAACAATATACCTAATGCTTAACACTGGTCCGTAGCCCATTGCCCACAGGTGTAGAAAGGTAGAAACCACTGGTTTACCACCTTGGTTATAACTGCTGGTCTGAGAACCATGTGCAGGACACATGCCAGTCCACAGGTGTAAAGAGATTGAAGAATGCTGATCTAATTCATTTACTCAAACATCAAAGCAGCATTCACATTGCTCTGAGAGACTTATTCATTCTTAAAGAGTATATCAAATCCTTTCCTGGGAGATGGTTCTGAAAAATGGAAGAGGACAAAAGCATGGGGGAGAGGGGACATTTACATTTTAGGGTCCCCTATAAACAAGGGTTCCTGCAACTAACTAAAAAAATTGACTTTCCCTCGAGTTGACTATGTAAACACTAACTAAAGGTCAAAAAGACATCTGTGCTGAAGCAGTAGTAAAATGGATAGGGTGCTTGCCTTGTGTACATACAGCCACACCGGGTTCGACACCTCATAATAGTCCCCTGAGCCCACCAGAAATGATCCCTGAGTGCAGAACCAGGAATAAGTCCTGAGCATCGCCAGATGTGTGTGTGTGTGTGGGGGGGGGGGGGGGGGGGGGGAACACCTTGATTTGAAAAAGAAAAATTGGTTTCAGAGAAATCAAAATGCTCTTTTCCCATCTCACTTGGTTTTGGAAATCACTAAATGAGACACTACTCTCAAAAAACTCTGCTCTAAGCAACCTGTCTTCCCCTCATCAGCTCACTACCTCAAACATCTGCACTTCTAAGCCCAGTGCAAACCTCATGTGTTTTGGGGCTAAAGAGAAAAAATAAGTAGGACTTACCATATTTGTTAAAGCAGAGAAAAACCCGCTCTGATGTTCTTCTTCTTTGTCTTTATACTGCCTGAACAAAAAACAACTAGGTTTACTATTAATTCTTTAAGCTCAGCTTTGTTCCTTGGCATTCTGGGTATAACAGTGGAGGGCACTTACAGGAAGCACTGACTCCTGGAAACAAATGCATCACCACAATCAAACCATCACCATGGCCCTGCAAACCAAGAGGCACCCATCTGCGCCTGAGGTAGTACATATCAAAATGCCTGGCTACTTTGGGAGAGACATAGAAAGCAAGCTGCAAAAGTGTGAAACCGCTCTAACATATGGCTGATCCAGTTATTTCTCAAACAGACTATTACTTGAAAAGTGAAATTACTTTAAGGCTGTAACAGTGAAAATCTTGTTTATTTTTGAAGAATGAGGAGGGAAACCTGTGAGCTAAACTATTTGTGGAAATAGGACAGATTTGAAATTTCAATACCCAATTGTGTGTGAGGAAAGTCTGGAGAGGAGCAAGAAGGATGCTCCCTAGGGGTTGCAGGGAGAGCTCAATGAGCTGAGCACGTGGTCTGCGTGTAGGAGAGCCTGGGTTTGATCTCTAGCATGGTATGGTTCCCTGAGCACCAGAGGGACTAATCCTAAGACACAGAGCAGAGGGTGGTCCATGAACTTTGCCAGATGTGGCCCCCTGCCAAAAAAAAAAAAGATCCTCCCTGGAAGGTGTACGGGACACTTCTAATTCCATCTAGTTTCCATTTACTGGATACCAGATCATTCCCTATCCACAGCAAGGGGGAAAACAAGCATCAGTGAAAAGAGGCCCCAGAACAGACATGAACTCTGTGAAGTTGCAGTTGGTTCCTGATGAAAAAGAAACCTCTGTCACACTGAGCTAATTCAATATGTTTCCTAGCTTGTTTTTTTAAAGGCACAAAACAGCAATGTTTCACAACCATGTTTACATAGAACATGGAATTTGTAGGACAAGCTGAGCTAAAAAAGTAGAGGCCACTTCTGTCTAGAAAATGAGCTTAAACTACTAAATAAATTATTTAGGACCTGCTTTGGGGGCAGGGTTGGATAATGGTTGGGAAAATTGAAAATAAAGGTGGTAGGAAGGTGAAATGGTGGTGAGAATGATGCTGGAATACTGAATGTAATAAATCATCATGAATAAATTTATAAAATTAAATTTTTAAAAACAATGATCTTAGGGACAGGAGACATAGTAAAGCTTGTAGGGCATTTGCCTTGCATGAGGCCAACCTGGGTTCTCTCCCCAGCATCCCATCTGGTTCCCTGAGCACCACCAGGCGTAATTCTTGAGTGCAGTGCAAAGCCAGAAGTAGCCCCTGAGCATTGCCAGGTATGACCCAAAAAGCAAAAAAAAAAAAAAAAGCTTAAATGCTCAGCAGTAAAATATCAAAGGTTATAATAGAACATGCCTAATTTCTTAGACAAAAATGAGCATTAATATGGTTAACTATTTTTCCCTGTGTCAGAAACCAGCCCTGCTGAAGACATCCAGTCAAGCTAGAGCAAATCCATTTCTCACAGCAGCTATACTTCTAGGGTAACAAAGGGTCCTTAACCTAGTAACTTTAATACACCGATCTCCTACTCGATAACTTAAATAAATAATAGATCCTTCTCTCTGTAAAGTTGGACTTACCTATTATACTCAGATAAAGCCTGAGCAATCACCAGTCCCATTCCCTAGAAAAGAGAAAGACAAAAACAGAAAAGGTGACATAAGGGGCTGGGGAAGCTAAGACTAGGCCAGGAAAAAAAAAAAAACTAATCACAACTGCAACGTTCAAGCCCGAGAAGTTCCACTTAGAAGTGGACAACAACAACAGAAATTATGAATTCCCAGGGGCTGGAGAGATAGTACAGCAGGTAGAGTGCTTGCCTTGCACATAGTTGACTCAGATTCAATCCCCAGCATACCATATGGTCGCCCGAGCCCTACCCAAAAAAAGAAATTATCAATTTTCATACACAACTGAAAGATGACGAGAGATGAAAAACACCAGCCCAGAATACTAATAGTTTTGATTGGGATCACATCACCTTAAAAGAAAAAATCTTTGGTGCTGGAGAGATAGCACAGCGGGTAGGGCATTTGCCTTGCACGCGGCCGACCCATGTTCAATTCCCAGCATCCCATACAGTCCCCTGAGCACCTCCAAGAGTAACTCCTAAGTGCAGAGCCAGGAGTAACCCCTGTGCATCGCCAGGTGTGACCCAAAAAGCAAAAAAAAAAAAAAACTGTTAAAATCTTCAGTGGGGCCGGAGCGATAGCATAGCGGGTAGGGCATTTGCCTTGCAGGCGGCCGACCTGGATTCAATCCCCGGCATCCCATATGGTCCCCCAAGCACCGCCAGGAGTAATTCCTGAGTGCAGAGCCAGGAATAACCCCTGAGCATCGCTGGGTGTGACCCAAAAAGAAAAAATTAATAAATAAGTTAAATAAAATCTTCAGTAAAAATGACAGAATAGAATACCAGTCTAAATGAAGATAACTTGTAGATAAACCATGCTCTTCAAGCCACAGGAATGCAATGGAAAGATGCATCCAATAAATGTTAAAATTTTCTGGAAATTTTAAATTTAAATTTTCTGGTGCTTGTCTTGCATGCTGCTGACACGAGTGCCAGCAATTGACAGATCACATATTTTATTTATTTATATTTGGCAGGGTGGGGGGGAATGTCATACCCAACGATGCTCAGGGATTACTCCTGGCTTTGCACTCAAGGCTCACTCCTGGCAGGCTTGGGGGACGATATGGGGTGCTGGGGCTGATACTCAGGTCAGCTGTGTGTAAGGCAAACGCCCAACCAGCTGTACTATTGCTCCAGGGTAAACCCCCCCCATATCCTTTCTCATAAAGGACATTATGAAAATGAAGAGGACAAGACGGGAAAGAACAAAACCAGATCATATGATCATCTTCCCTCCCTATAATCAGAGATCTTATTTCAAATCTTTTTCTTTCATTTTGGTCATTCCTAGGGGTGTTTGTAGGGCTATGTAGTGCTAAATATGGATCCTGGATCTCCTGCATGAGAAGCACGATTACTGGCCCTTGAATCATCTCCCTGGTTCATTTTTTCCAAATTTTCAAGTGCTCCTATAGCATATACATATTCTCCTCCATGTTCAAACTGCACTATCAGGCATTAATATCATCTGGGCAGTTTTACTAGAAGCAATCTCCCATCATTCTGTCTCCTAAGCCTTTCTTCCCCCAGTTTTCTTAAGGTATAAGTGACATATGAAATGGTAAGAAAGTTAAAGGTTTCATGGTTGAATTTGATATGCATACCATCTCTTCCTATTCTTAAAATTGTAATTTATTGACTCTGTAAGATAATCAACAAACTCTAACATAAAATAGAATCATTTCAACATAAGTAGCAGCAAGTGAATGTCCTCTCCAACCTTCCCGTGATTAGAAGATAGATGGCAACAAGACAGTTGCACTGATGCTCTCAAAAGAAAAACAGATTTCCTCTTTATAGCCAGATGAAATTAACACAATAGCTTTCTGCAATCTGTTCTAATATCCACTGAAAGTACGGCCACCAAATGCAAGTAATTAAAAACAATACACAAGAATCCAGATACTCACATTGAGCGTAGCCTCATCATCCACAATGGATAGTTTCACAATGTATGGATTCACAGACTGTTAAACAAGAGGAGAGACTCAAGGTGAGTGTGACCCAGTCAAGAACCCATTAGCTATTAGATGGTGTTAACTATGGAGTTCCTTTTTTAAAAGACCCCTTTCTCTCTAGTGATGATCCTAATACTCAGGCCTAATTTTATCTTGCCAGCTGATTCCTGCCATTTCCCCTCAGACGCATTGGCCTTCACCAAGCACAAGTATGCACACGTGCACATGCAACTGCACGTGTGCACACACACACACACAAACAGTTCTGTTCTACGTGCATTTTCTTCTAATTTTTATCAGGTCAGACCTAATTTTTATCATCTCGCCCTCTAATATGTTCCTTTCTCTTCCTTTTTTTTTTTTTTCCCTGCAATGCTAGGGATCAAACCCAGGGCGTCACACACAAAAGGCAAAATCGAGAGCTCTACTACTGAGTGAAAGGCCACGCCCTCCCTCTTCTTTGTTTCAAAGACTTGAAGGAGTTGACAAAATGTACTTTGTCCTTTCCTGACGATAAAGGACTGAGTCCATAGGGACAGCTGTCTTTTGGGGAACATAAAAGTTTCTTTGCCATAAGGCACAAATTTATAAATTGCTAACTTACATTCTCATCCCAAAGGCTCCCTAACCTATTCCACACACCAAAGCAGGGATGGATTTACCCACCCGTAAAACAAAGCCACCTTGGGGGTGGAAAGTGGCAGCTGCTTAACAGCCAGAGAGGCCATTTATGGATCCGATTCCCAAATAACACTGCAGGGGAACTGGAAAAAAAAGGATGTAATTACCCAAACTACAATCTGCTCAGGACACTGGGATTTAATGATTGTCCCATCACTTACAGCACTGGAAGATTTCTTGAGTTTTTCCAGAACCAATCTCAGCTGGGCAACATATGGAAACGGACATATATTTAAACTCATTAAGCCCTTAGGCCATCTCCTACCAATGGGAGGAGAACCAATGACCGGCTTACCTTGAAAACATCCCACCCATGGGATGTGAGGAAAGATCTGATCTAGATCAGGCAACAATTCTAACCCAAGGGAAGCAAGAAACAATAGTTCTCAGATTGGTAATTTTTACAGCAACCAAGAAAACTCATTACTGAGAAAGTTGGAACTCTAACTAAAATGCTAACCCCCCACATAGACCTTATTTAATCAAGTTTCTGAGGGCATCTTTCTAATGTCAGTTGGGAATAGAGAAAGCAACAGCTTTGCTCTCTTGTAAGTCTAAACGTTTATACGGTTTTCTGGAGTACAACTCAAAGAGGAACAACCTACTCCTTTTGTCATTGAATCACTTCTTTCCATAGCTAACAGAAAATTCTTGTTGATTTCAGACAAGACCCAAGGCAAAGGGATTCTCCAAAACCAACAGACCTAGAGAGCTAGTACAGGGGCTGAGGCACAAGCCTTCGCACAGTCAACCCTGGTTCAATCTCCAGCAATCATACAGTCCCCTCAACACATCCAGAAGTAATCCCTGAACACAGATTCAGAAATAAGACCTTAGTACAACCAGGTGTGTCCTATAATTAAAACAAAAGAAAAAGGAAACTAGTAATAGTTGCCACCAGGATAAGGATAAGGAAGTACAATTTCTTGGCTTTTGTTTGGTTGGTTTCAGTTTTGGCCCACACACAGCAGAGCTCAGGAATTAGTCCTGGCTCTGAGCTCAGGAATCACTCCTAGAGGTATGCAAGGGACCACAGGCATTGCCAGGAATCGATCAAAACAGGGTCAGGACATACAAGTCCCTTAACCCGTTACTTTCTCTCTGGTCCTGGTATTTTCTAAAAATTTTAACTTTGTTATTCCTAAATGTGGACTATGCTAAGTAATGACAAATATTAGATGCTGTCTGCTGTCCTCCCGTTGTTCATCGATTTGCTCAAGCGGGCCAGTAACGTCTCCATTGGAGACTTTGTTGTTACTGTGTTTGGCATATCGAATACATCACGGGTAGCTTGCCAGGCTCTGCCGTGCAGGCGAGATACTCTCGGTAGCTTGCTGGGCTCTCCAAGAGGGGCGGAGGAATCAAACTCGAGTCGGCCATGTTGGCTGCGTGCAAGGCAAATGCCGTACCACTGTGCTATCGCTCCAGCCCGACAAAAATTAGACAGGGTCACAAAAGATCATTCAATGGGATGAGTGCATGATCAAATACAGGACACCTAGGTTCGATACCCAGTACTGCATGGTCCTAGAGTACTGTCAATAACAACCCCCAAGGACTGAGCTGGGAGGATCCCTTGGTGTAGTCAAAAGAAAAACTAAATGAAGCAGGGGTATGGTGCCGCCAGCAGGTCAATCTGTAACTGTGAGGTGAGTGCTCAGCAGCCTGATGGCGCCTTCAGACTTCCAGATACCCCAAAATTGCTGCTGTGCCTTTGGTCAGACCCCAAAAACTTGGGGCAAAGTTTACCAAGAAAGTAAACGGCCAAAAGTTAGGTATGTGGGAGACGCACCCACAAACCTCCTCCAGCTCAGCTATATAACTGGAGTCATTGGCTCTCTGGTTCCTGATTGAATTGGTTAATGGTCATGATCCCAGAGATTCAGAAACAAATCTCAAAACCCAACGGCTTTTGGCAGAAATGCGTCCGGTTCCTGCAGTAGGCTACTGGCACTGGGCCACCCCAGGTGGGAATAGGTTTTGTGTCTTGGCCTGTTTCCCCTGGTGGCCCAGTGGCCGTCATCCTCCAGAGGCCACTGGACAGTCAAGTTTGGGCCCTCAGTGACAACACATATAGGGCCTCACGAGATGGGGTGGAACTGGCCCTTTCCTCCCCGCCCCAATGAGACCCCAAGTCGCCACCAACAAATGGCCTCTCTGGCTCCTGATCAAGCTGCTTAATGGCCTTGATCCCAGAGACTCAGGAACAAATCTCGGAACCCAGCAGGCTTTGACAAGAAACCCCTCCAGATTTAATTGTTAAAATTTCAGAATTTCAAAATCGCGTGACCACTACTGCAGCCACGCCACATCTTATGTTATTCATAACCAGCAATAGAAAACAAATTGTCTATTGTTGCCTTTTCGGCAGATCTGAGTATTGGGGTAAAATCCCAAATAATAATGGTGGGTGTGGTGTCAAAATGTTGTATGTAATCAAAGTATAGAGAGAGTAATTTGGAAATCATCTGCCCCACAAGTAGGGGGAGGGTGTGGAATGGGGGTATAGGGATTTTGGTGGTGGAGAATGGGCACTGGCGAAGGTATGGGTGTTTCATTGTATGACCGAGACTTAATCCCGAAAGCTTTGTAACTGCTCTCACGGTGATTCAATAAATAAAATTATAAAAAAATGGGGGGGGGGGGAAGTAATGTGGAGTTCATGCACAATTCAATCAGCCTAATCAGAGGCTGAATAACTAACAGTAATCCTACATTAATAAATAAATAAATAAATAAATAAAGCAAGCAACTCAAAGTGCTAGAGCAAATGCTTTAAATGCAGATCTTGGTCACCACTGGGAATGACCCTCAAAAACAGCACTGGGAGCAGCCCCTGATCATCACAATGTGTGGTTCAAATTTTTAAAAAATAATAATCATCATTATCTAGTTACTAAGCAGAAGCTGAAGAAAAAGCAAGGGTTTGAGTCCAACTTCTCTGCTTTTTCTCTGAGTTTTGGGCCACAGCCTGCAGTACGTCAAGGTTAGTCCCTTGGAGCTCAAGGATCCACGTGGTAACAAAAAGCTTCCCTGGGGCTTCCAAATGCAAAGCTCTTTAACTACACCCCTCTGAGCAACCTGCCTAGAGCCATTCTTTTTTTAATTCCAGGGACTTAACTTAGGGCCTCATTCAAACAAATCATGTGTTCTACCACCCTACCCACATTCCTGGTCTGTATTATTAACTGACAAGGAGCTATATAAAGCCCAGGAAATCACGTGATCTGGCCCTGGTATATGACAGAACAGATACATATGCTTCTTGTTGGTTGCCACAGCCCATCTGCCTGTATTGCATGGCCCACAAATGATGCTATAATGCCCAAATGACCCTTGTCACAAAAACTATTCCCCACCCCTGCGAAGGACCAATACAGAAAACACTAGAGTGAAAAAATTATCTACATTCAACACATAATATATTTGCCATCCCTTCCATCTAAGACCTTATTTATTTTCTCTGTGTTTAGCTGGCCTCCCAGCTTCTCTGTTTCCTAAAAGGTTACAACTTACCCCATTGGTCACGGAATTAATCAAGATGATGACTTGAATACTATTCTCCCTGGCAAATAGTTTACATAAAAATTTCAGCAGCTTTTGGTTGTGCTATGTTCATGTAGAATTCCTCATGTTCCTGTCAAAAACCTTCCTACTCCATGGTCACCCGCTTACTTGATGTTTTCTAGCAAGTGATTTATACCAAAAACTGCAAAGCCCAGATAAATTATGCCCACCAGCTTGCCCTCGCCTACTATATTAATTCTTCTGGGACTTCTGACAGACTAGAGATGCATACCTCACTCCAGAAATATGATTTTCTCCAGCTCCTTGGCCATGTCCAATTTTTCAGGCTGACATTTCAGAAAGCCTTACTAGGCCGGCCAGGGTTCATTTCACATCTAGAGAAGCCAAGCCATTGCCTCAAAGAAGCCTACATCCAGCCGACTATTCCAAAAATATTCATTACTGACAATAGTATTTTCCTATCAGATATAATTCAACTCTTTAACTATCTTCAGCATGTCTCCTCAGCTATTTTTCTTGCTATTATATAAGGTCCCAGAGGGCATTAGACATGACAGAGACCAAAATGACCATCATGTCAGTTCCCATAAACCCCCAGTTCAACAGGTGTTGGTTATAAATTACATTATAATTTTATCAGTTATTATTAAAATGTATTAGTAGCTATACTCACTATTTATAAATTACTACAAAACAACAACAGAAATAAGTTCCCAGGGTGCTGGAAGAATAGTTTAGTGGGCAGGGCACACACTTGCCTTGCATGCAGCGGACCCAGGTTCAATTCCCAGCACCCCATATGGTTCGCTGAGTCTGCAAGGACTGCTGCCTGAGTGTGGACCCATGAGTAACCCCTGAGCAAGCAATACTGGGTGTGGGCCAAAAACCCGGGGGAAAAAAAAAAGTTGTTCCCAGGATTTATAACATACTAATATTGCTTCACATAGTACAATCACTCTTTTCTCACAGCTTTCCACTCTTCCGTGGTCCTTCTTATATAAGCTCTACATTTTTAACACCTGTCACTGGGTTTTTAGGGGTACACGATTGTTTGCTTCTGACCCATACTCAGAGATGCACAGGGTTTACTCCTGACTCTACATTCAGGAACCACTTCTGGCAGGCTCAGAGGACCATATTGGGTGCTGGGAATTGAGCCTGGGTCAGCTGCATGCAAGACAGTGCCTTACCCACTATACTATTTGTCTGGTCCCTGCTTTTTGTTGTTGTTTCAGACCCACATGCGATGCTTGGGGAGAAAGGAGGGGGAATCACTTAGGAATCACTCCTGGCGGTGCTCAGATGATCACATGGGATGCCAGGGATCAACCTGGTTCTGCTGTGTGCAGGGCAAGTGCCCTACCAGCTGTGCTATTGCTCTTGCCCCATGCCTTTTTATTTTTAGGTGGGGGAACACAACCAATGGTGCTTGGGGGCTACACACAGCTGTGTGCTCAGAGAATACTCTGACTAATCCCTAAGCAGAGAGTCAGGAGTAACTCCTGAGCATCTCAGAGTATAACAAAAAGTGGGGGCGGGGGTGGGGGAGTGGGGGAAGTTTCTAGGGAACCTAGGGATAGCAACTCCCTTGCATGCATAAGATTGTAAGACTTGATTCCTAGTGCTGCCCACATGCACTAAACAAGGTCCCAGCAACTCAGCTCTCTAGAATCTCTGGAGCTACATGACAGCATATGATCTCCAGAGCACCAAGCTGGCTGTATGCAAACACCACAACTAAAAGTACAACCCTCAGGAGCAAAGGAGACAATACAGGGGTAAGATGCCTGGCTTGCACAGCACTGAACCCAATTCGATAACCAGTACCACTATGGTTCCCCAACAAATCCAGAAGTCTTGAGCACGACTCAGTGTGACCCAAAAAAAAAAAAAACAAGGTGTGAGGGGCCAGAGAAAATAGTACAATGGGGAGGCTTCATTCCCAGGCACCCATATGGTCCACGAGTCCTACCAAGAGTGATTCTGAGCACAGAGTCAGGAGTAAGCCTGGAACACCACAAAGTGACCCAAAAACAAAATAAACAACCCAAACTGTGAGATTCTCAACAAGCACAACTTAAGACATAAGTACCACAGACAGAAGTACACCCTCCCTCCATTAGTATGTATATGTCTGTTTGGGGACCACATCTGGCAGTGCACAGAGAGCACTCCTGAGCACATGGATCACTCCTGGCAAGGTCTGGGGAACCATAATGGGTGCCAGGGACTGAACTTGGGTCATTTGCCCTGAGCATATAGAAGCTCCATAACAACTCCCAGCTAGCACTACAGTCGTAACGTACAAGAGCACAATAGCCACAGGAGTGTGATCAGGCAAATGCTATGACCAAATGTGCACTTATCATAACCAAGCATATGCATGATTCCCAGTCATCAGCTCTGAAAAATTATAGTTACATTAAAAACAAAAAGGTGGGGCTAGAGAATACAGCAGGTGGGGCACTTGCCTTGCACCCCATATGGGCCCCTGAACCCGAAAGAGTGATTCCTGAGTGCAGAGCCAGGAGCAAGCCTTGAGCACCACCAGGTGTGGTCCAAAGAACAAAAAATTTAAATTTAAATTTAAATTTTCCTAGGCAATTTTAATTATAAGCTGGGCTTTTATGTTTTTATGTAATAATGATTGTTTACTTTGGGTGGGAGAAAATTTTTGTGCAGAAAAAGTAACTGGTGATCACTATGCAAGCCTTTTTTTTTTTTTAATTGTGCTGATAGGGGTCAAAGGGATAGTACAGCGTACAGCAGATAGGGTGCTTGCCTTGCACGTGGCTGATCCAGGTTCAATCCCCAGCATCCCATGTGGTACCCGAGCACAACCAGAAGTAATTACAAAGTGCAAAGACAGGAGTAAGCCCTGAGCATCACTGAGTGTGCTGACCACCCTCCCCCCACACACCCCAAAAAAGAGCAAATTGTGCTAGTATACTGAAAATTCAAGATGTGATAGTTGGGGCTGGGGTAAGTAGAGTTCTTGCCTTGTACACAACTGACCCGGATTCAACCCCCAGCATTTTATCTGCTCCCCTGAGCACTCCCAGGAATGATCCTGAGTGCAAAGCCAGAAATAAGCCCTGAGCCCTGCTGGGTGTGGTCCCCCCAAAAAATAACAACTATGTTATTTTTGATGTTACAACTATGTGGTGGTAGTGATAAGGAGTGAAACATGCTACTTACTCAATTTATTAAAAAAAAAAAAGCTACACCACAGGGGCCAAAGCAATAGTACAGTGGGTAGGGCATTTGCCTTGCATGCAGCTGACCCGGGTTTGATCCCAGGCATCCATTAGGGTCCCCCAAGCACCACCAGAGTAATACTTGAGTACAGCGCCAGGAGTAACCTCTGAGCATCGCTGGGTGTGACCCAAAATAGCAAAAAATAAATAATTATACCACAGATACCCTCTGCCCCAAGAATTCAATATAGGATTTTCAGAATGTGGCCTACCAAAATATATATATATATATATATATATATATATCATTTACAAAAATATATGTCTTCCACTATAAGTGGCCACATTTAGGGAGCTTACTACTGATTTTTTCTTTTTTTTTGCTTTTTGGGTCACACCCAGCTATGCACAGGGGTTACTCCTAGTTCTGCACTCAGGAATCACCCCTGGCGGTGCTCAGGGGACCACATGGGACGCTGGGAATCGAACCCGGGTCGGCTGCGTGCAAAGCAAAAGCCCTATCCACTGTGCTATTGCTCCAGCCCCCTTACTACTGATTTTTAGGAGACTGCTTACCTCATATTTTCTGTAGTTCACCAGCAATGCCAAGAGGACAACAGCATCATACCCATGTTCCCTGCGACTTGGAGGGTGGGAAAGTATCTGTAATGAAACCAAAAAACGTGAGGGTGCTAACTCCTGGGAATACAGACAGAAGATGTGGGGAGGTAGTTCACCCAAAGAGAAAAAAGAAACAATGGAATAACCTACTTGTAAAATTGCTTCAAATATGCTGTTGATCATTACATACTCCAGGATAGTGTTCTGACTGATGTTATCTGTCACCTAAATGCAATAAGAGGCTTTTAAAAAATGTTTATCAAGGCACTTCTGACACTGTACCTTTGGTTTTTTTTTTTTAATTTTCATTAGTGAAACACTATGAGGTACAGTTATAGACTTACAAATTTATCTTTGGTTTTTTGAGGTTTACTTATTGCGGTGGTTTTGGTTTTGGGACCACACCCTGCCAAACTCAGGAATTACTCCCAGCTCTGCATTCAAGAATTACTCCTGGCAGTGTTCAAGGGACCATCTGGAATGCCAGGATCAAACCCAGACAGGTCAAGAGCAAAGCAAGCAGCCAGCCTGCTGTATTATCTCTCTAGTTCCAAATTTCTTGTATCTTTTAATATATCTCATTTGTTTCTCTTATACCACAACACAAGTTTGCTTAACAGCTTCTTGGGTTTCATTCCTCAAATGCACAGGAAGAAGTTTAGGATATAGAAGCCTTCCAGTGGCTTCTGTATCATAAATTTTCAAAGGATGATTTACAAAGAAAGCAAGTCACCCTCAGAACCTGAGAGACATGACAGCAAGTAGGGCATCTGCCTTGCATTCAGCCAACCCAAGTTCTATCTCTCACACCCCATATCCCTGATCACTGAGTCAGGAGTAAATCCTGAGTACTACCAGGTATGGCCCAAAAAATAAAAACAAAAAAAGGGTCCCACTCCCACCCCAGAGATATAGTACAATAGGTAGGGCACTTGCCCTGCACGTGCCAACCCAAATTCAGACAACCCAGGTTCAATCCCTGGGATCCCATGAGGTTTTCACAAGCCTATCAGTACAGAGCCAAGAATAACTCCTGAGCACTGCTGAGTGTGGCACAAAAAAAAAAAAGATAAATAAGGGCAAAAAAGACATTCCAGAAGAAAGCAGTTCTCTAGCAACTACTAAAGTGTTATTCCCTGAGGCTGTATAGGGTAGGTATTAGCCTTATTTATATGTGGTCAACCCAGGTTCAATCACCAGCAGCCCATATGATCCCCTGAGCACTACCAGAAGTAATTCCTGAGTGCAGAGCCTGGAGTAACTTCTATATGCATCTCCAGGTATGGTCCACAAACAAACAAAAGTAAATAAATAACTTCTGTTGGGGGGGGGCATCTGGCGGTGCTCAGGGGACCACGTAGGATGCCAGTGATCAAACTTGGTCATCTGTGTGCAAGGCAAGCACCCTACCTACTGTACCATATCACTCCAAGCCCAAATAAATAATTTTTTAAATAAAGAATGTGTTACTTCTAAGGTGATAAGTATCATATATCCTGCAGCTTACAAAGGTCAGCAGTTACTCCTAAGAGAAACTCTGAGGAAGTAATACCCAGGAAAGTAAATAGCTTCCATTCAAACACTAATTTTTTTTTTTCTTATCTTACTGAATTGTTCAGTATTCAAATAAGCTTGCTTCTACTAACAATTAGTTTCCCTGATAAAGAAGCACCTGGATGGATCACTTACAGTCACTAAGCAAAGAAGAAGTTTCAAACATAAACTCTTCAGACTTTCAGAACCTTCTGCGCAAAGCAATGAATCCAAGCTCTCCATCAAGTTCTGAGAAAGAAAACCACTAAGTATTAATGCATATCAAATAACATCTTCAATGGGGGGTCTCTGTCAAATTTGGAATTATGGTACAAAGTTAACAAGGTTAATGTGAATAACACAACCATATCACTCTCTTACAAGATTTGGGCCTTGCAAGATTAGACAAAGAAAAGAAGCCTTCAAAGTCTAGTTCTTTCTGGAAAAATACTTAAAAACAATGGCAGAGAATAATATTCACTACTCAGGCTGGAAAGACAGAAAGGGTAGGCTGTTTGTCTTGTATGTGGTCAACCCAGGTTTGATCCCTGGCACCCACATGGACGCTTGAATACTGTCAAAAGTGATTCATAAGCACAGAACCAGGACTAAGCCCTCAGAACTTCTGGGTGTGACTGCAATTATCTTTTATTAAATTAAAAATGTAAAGAAAAAGAATTCACTACTTTGTCAAATGAATGTCTATAGCCTGATAGCTTCAGATAAACCTCTAGCTTATAATGAAGTAAAAAAAAATATTTTTGGGTTTGGTTTTTGAGTCACACCCAGCAATGCTCAGGGTTCACTCCTGGCTCTGCATTCTGGGATCACTCCTAGAGGGAATCTGGGGACCATATAGAATGCTGAGGATCAAACCCAGGTCAGCTGTGTGCAAGGCAAGTGCTCTAACCACTGTACTATTATTCCAGTTGCTGAAGTAAAAATTTTTAAATGTTAGGAAAAAAAAACATAATGGTTACATTAAATTGTAAGTATATAAATACAACTATACTAACTAAATAAAATTAAATTTTATTAAATTTTAAATAAACAAGCTCAAGATTGCAGCACTGTAGCACTGTCCTCCCTTTGTTCATAGATTTGCTCAAGTGGGCACCAGTAACGTCTCCATTGTGAGACTTGTTGTTGCTGTTTCTGGCATATCAAATACGCCATGGGGAGCTTGCCAGGCCCTGCCATGTGGGTGGGATACTCTCAGTAGTTTGCCGGGCTCTCCGAGAGGGACACAAGAATCGAATCCGGGTCGGCCATGTGCAAGGCAAACACCCTACCCGCTGTGCTATCGCTCCAGCCCAAGTTCAGGATTAGTATTAGTTAAATAACTGAAAATAGGTTTTATTATCAAAGAAAACATGATCACTTAATATAAGCATACTTAAATAACAGAGAGAAAATACTACTATCACTGGCCTTATGCATTACCCAACAAAGCTAATTCATGCCCATCCATAGACAATAAGATTGGAGCTCATTGCTTGTTTGTTTTGTTTTGGGGGGAAGCCACATCCAGCAATGCTCAGGGGTTACTCCTAGCTTTGCACTCAGGAATTACTCCTTGTGGTGCTCAAGCAACCATGAGTTGCCCAGGATTGAACCCTGGTCAACCATGTACAAGACAAGTACCCTACCTGCCGTACTATCTCTCCAGCCCCATGGAGCTCATCACTCATATGAACAAACAGCTGACAAAACAAAATTCTTAGAGACTATAATAAAAAGAGAGGGAAAAAATTCTTTTACATGAAAAAAGAAAAAAGTTCCTTCAGGACCAGAAAGATAAAGCAAAGGACTGACCTACAAGCTTAGCATGCAGAATTCTTGGGCTGAAATCTGGCATTACAAGGTCACCAAAGCAATGGCACTGTATAGTTTCCCTAATGCCACTGGAAGTAACTTCCAAGTATTGTGCCAGAATAGCCCAAGTACACCCGATGGCCCCTCAAAAAATAATGATAACAGAGCCTGGCAAGCTACCTGTGGCATCTTCAATATGCCAAAAACGGTAACAATAACGGGTCTCATTTTCCTGACCCTAAAAGAGCCTCCAATACGGCAGCATTGGGAAAGATGAGTATGGAGAAGCTGCCAAAATCTCAGGGATGGGACAGAAGAGACGTTACTGACACCCACTCGAGTAAATCAATGAATAACGGGATGACAGTGATACAGTGAATAATAATGGGGCCACAGGGATTGTAGAGTGGGTAAGGTATTTACCTTGCACGCAGCTGACTCAGGTTCAATCCTGAGCATCCCATATGGTCCCCCAAGCACCGCCAGGAGTAATTCCTGAGTGTCAAGCCAGGAATAACCCAAGGATCACTGGGTGTAACCCAAAAACACAAATAATAATAATAATAATAATAAATGAAATAAAATAATAAGCCCTGGAAATAGCTCGAAGCGCAAGAGTAAATGCTTTGCATGAAGGAGGTCCTGGTTCAATTCCTGGCACCACATAGTCTCAAGTATTACCAGGAGCAACCCCCAAGCACCACACCAGGAGAGTGCTGCCTAAGCACCGAGTATAGCCCAAAGTCAAAAAAAATCAAAACAATGACTAAGACAAAACTCTTAATGCCCACCAACAGTATCATGGTATTTTCAGTCTAATAGAAACGAAAAAGTTTTAATCCTATGGCTACTATAACAGAAATATACAAAGAGAAAAGGAATTATTTTAGATGTGACCTACTCTAGAACTCCTCAGAGTGGGTTATATTTTGAACTGACACTGTCACTGTCCTCCCGTTGTTCAGCGATTTGCTCGAGCGGGCCCAGTAACATCTCCATTTTTTGAGACTTGTTGTTACTGTGTTTGGCACATCGAATACGTCATGGGTAGCTTTCCAGGCTTTTGCCATGTGGGCAAGATACTCTTGGTAGCTTGCCGGGCTCTCCGAGAGGGGCAGAGGACTCGAACTTGGGTCAGCCATGTCGGCTGCATGCAAGGCAAATGCCCTACTGCTGTGCTATCGCTCCAGCCCATATTTTGAACATCAAAAAGAAATCATTAAATCTTCAGAGACTGTGCCAGAGTGAGGGTACAGTGGGTAGGGAGTTTGCTTTGCACACGGCTGACCAGGATTTATTTCCCAGCACCCATTGTGGTCCCCTAAGCCTGCAGGAATAATTGCTAAGTCCAGAGCCAGAAGTAACCCTTGAGCACTGCCGGGTGCAGACAAAAATATAATTAATGAAACTTGAGGAGAATTGGGAGATATAACACAAAGGGCTGGAGTGCTTGCCCTGAATGCACCAGGACTGAAATGCAATCCCTGGCACCATACTCCTCCTGAACCCCACCTGCTTTCATCCTGGTGGCCAGCAGTCGTGGCAGGATCTGTGCAGCACTGCAGAGTAGAGCCTGTGCACTGAACAAAAGACTGATACCTCCAGGTACAAGATCTCCAGGTATATGCCCCAGACTTCCAGTATACTGCTGGATACCCCCACCACACACATATACTTGAGGAGAAAAGCAATTCTAGCACAATCAAAGGTTAAGGAAGAATAAAACAGCTCCGGGTGTGGAACACAATACAGAAGTGTTGAGGCTTACTCTTACAGTAGTAAGAGATGAGGCTAGAGAAGTACATAGGAAGCAGATTACCAAAGTTTTATAGGTTAACTAGAGGGTGCAGCCTTTATCCTATTAAAAGTGATAGAAAAATTAATGAGGGATTTTAAGCAGAAAACATAGGAATGGTGTCAGTGTAGAACAGATTTAAAGATAGTAAGCCTGGAGGGAGGGAGACAAATGAGGACTAATCCATCAATTTTCTGAGGATAGCTGCCATGTCTTATTTGCCTCTGTATCCCCAATGCCTGGCATGTAGAAGTCTAACAAATGTTTTTTAAAAAATGAATGAAGGCCATGTCTGCCCGGAGGGGAAAGGGTGTTGCTCCCTTCCGCCCTCCTCCCTCTGGAAAGAAAGATGGCGGCCACATGGGAGCCTTGTGGACAGCAGGTATGAGCCGGGGGTGTGGGGGCGACTAAAACCTCATGGGAAGGGGGGCGTTCCGGTCCGTCCTTCACACCCTACCGAGGTCACCAGTTGCCCCCCACGAGCGGCTCTCCAGCACAGCCACGGCCCCAGAAGCACAAGGACTTAATGCAGAACCCGGCAGCTTGGAGCAGAAAAGTGAACAGACTATGCATTAATCCAGGCCATCAAGTCTGCCCGGAGGGGAAAGGGTGTTGCCCCATTCGCCCTCTCCTCTCTGGAAAGAAAGATGGTGGCCGCATGGGAGCCTTGTGGACAGCAGGTATGAGCCGGGGGTGTGGGGGCGACTAAAACCTCATGGGAAGGGGGGAGTTTCGGTCCGCCCTTCACGCCCTACCGAGGCCACCAGTTGCCCCCCACGAGCGGCTCTCCAGCACGGCCACGACTCCAGAACACAGAAACCAATTTCTTAACTATCTGACTTTCAGTAGAAATACTTCCAGGGTCAATAGGTAAAATAGCAGAAATCCAAAACCAACATTTAATTCTTGAACCCAGCTGTAGAAAGCAAATCACTTCACAATGCTTTTTCAGCATGTCTGATTTGGGGGGGCGGTAAACTCTAAATAATAGTGGTGAATCTTTTATTGAAACAGTGAATCTAATCAAAGCAGATAGAGTGTTAACTAGAATTCATCTGCCTCACAGGGACTGGGAGGGGTGGGGGTTGGGGTTTTATTGGGGTTCTTCATGGTAAAAAATAAGTATTGGTAAAGGGAAATGTGTTTGATATTTGCATGACTGAGACCTAAACCTGAAAGCTTTGTAACCTTTCCCACAGTGATTCAATAAATAAATAAAAATAAATAAATAAATAAAAAAGAATGAAGGCATCACTGCAGGAGTAAAGGTGAGAGATAATGGGAACAATGGCAGCTGAGAAAGGTAAAAAGAAGAGCCCGAGCAATAGGACAGCAGGTAGGGTGCTTGCTTGCATGCTGCCAACCCAGGTACAATCCCTGGTATCCCTTATGGTTCCCCAAGCCCCACCAGAGGTGATCCTTGAGCAGAGACTTAGGAAAAAGTTCTGAGCATCACTTGGTGTGCCCCCCCCCAAAAAAAGGAAAAAGTAAAAACAGATATGGAAAATATTAGCTAAACCAAATTAGCTGAACCTAGTCCTGGTGATCATATGGACAGAAAAAATGAGAAAGAAGAATCCAGAATAACTCCCAGGCTTTTGGTTTAGGGAACTGAGAAGGATAGGTCTCCCCATTCTAA